CTGTGTGGGGAGACTACACAGCAACCCGAAGGTCAGTGGAATCTTCCTGGGAAAACTGATTAAAAGTATTGCTTTACTCTGAAAAGTGATTCTGTAAAGATTTCAATCAGTGCTATGAGTGACAGAGACATGTTGAATCACAGGAACAAACTTAGGAAGGCTGGAGTTCTAGTAAGTAGGATCTTTAGGATACAGCATGAAACTGTGCAGAACTGAGACTAATACATTTGCTGAAAGTCAGTGTAAGAATCTATTAATCAATGAAGACTAATGCCACTTGCACTAAAACAAATTATCTAACTGAAATGCACAGAGAGACTCATGTTTCTCACAATGTGACTATACCACACGATTGGCACATAGTGCAAAAGAGTCTGAACAGACTTTCAAAGATCAAGTTTGCATAGTTTGCATGTCAGGAAAAAAACTAATAACAGTGACATAAAACTCCACATGAATATTTACGAGGATCCAGAATCAAAAACTTGTTTGTTAAAAGATAAGCTGAGAATCTTTATAGAAATCTTCATCCTCAAGTGCGAACCTTTTGTTCATGCATTTTGGAAGGTCAGTGAGATAGCATCTGTACCTGGTTATTGTAAATCAAAGGCAAGGTATTTTCTACCACTCCACACTGAAAATTTGGACTCTTCAAGACAGTTCAGTATTTGAGTTCATAAAGACATACTGTCTGTAGGCTCTGCTGATGCTGGGAAAGAATGGTTTATGGTTCAGAAGCTAAACCATAGCATCAGAATTGATACTGACAATGCCATGGCATCATTTTTGCTATGTTATAGTTAAAAAGGAGTTCCATTTTAAGCCATGTGATTTCACTTCTGCTGGAACACATTGTTATTCTCTTTTTGCTGGTCTCCATACCTGATAAACCTCCATTGGCTGACACTCCTTTTGTGCAGAGCTTCACTGAATAATGCATATAATACATACTTACCTAAGCAAACTAAGAAATATCTAACTATCTGAGTAATGCAGTGATTTCTGAATTCAACAAGCCCTTCAACACAGAGTGCAAAACTTGCACTTATTTCATGTTTTAAAAATTCTTAAAAACAAAATCACAATCCCATCCTAATTTAAGAAATTACCTCTTCTACTCCTTGCAGACAAATTAAAGTGTCACTTTGATGCACAGCTCATGTGGAAAAGTAGAAGAGATGAAAAGAATCCAACCATCACAGTCTCATAGGGCAGATTTCATTCTTTAAATGTGCCAAAACTCATGCTGCCTGGCTCAGCTTCAGCAAATTATCTAATATATCTTAGTGAGGCAACTCATGTGATCCATTATAGCTAATCAAACCTTAAGTACTTAGGCAAATTTCAGCACCAGAAGAGAATGAGTTGAGCCTGTGAGCAGTAATTGTGTACAGCAGACTAAAGTATTGGTTAATATGTAAGCAAACTGCCGATAACTATAACTAAAAGTATATATTTTTTTGCTGATGAGGCTGGGCAAGTTTCTTGGCATGTGCACCTTCTACTTTTAGAAGTTTAGTTGACATGGCCCCAGTTGCTCAATTTGCCATAGGTTGCTGGAGATACTTGTTGGTTACCTCAACAGTGTTCAGGGAAAAACAGAAGATGATTGCAGCTTTCCTGCCACTCCCCCTACACTCCCCTTGGTACACCCCCTTGAAGTCTCAAATGGCAGGCCTGCTTTACACAGCTGAAAATCAAGTACAGCCAGAAATTTTTCCTACTGTTATGGAAAAGCAATAATTCATCTCTGACTCTGCATAGCCAAGATCTCTAAAGAAAATAAACCCCCTAAACTGATGGGAAGAATAAAAATGGCCACCCGCTGGTCATGTAAATACACTGCTAAATCTTATACCTTTTTTTTTCCTGCAAATGAGTAATCAATTATTTACAGATATACACAACTTTTCTGTGATTTATTTAAATGTCCCTTTGTTGTTGTTCAAACATAGTGATTTTTATTTATTAACACAAATTAAAAATACTCCTTGGGATGTGTTTTTTTCTCCTTTGCAACCTTTTTTCCTCCATGTTTGTATTTGAGAAGGTTAAAGGACAATCTGTCCTGCATAATAAAAAGCTCTTATTTATCTAGTGACCAAATGTATTTCAGTCAGCTAAAATCTGAAGTTTCTGTTCTGCCAAGTAATTCTGTCATGACCTGATGGGTATTAACCCACTTAAAAGGTAAAATGCCTTCATTTTATCTGAAGAAAGATACTTAACAGAGCATTTAATGTATCTGGGAACTGTGCTGGCTGGTAACTCCTCTATCTAGCTCATGGTGATCTTATTCAGAGGCAGTAGCCCTGTGAAGATCACCAGTTAGTTACAATCTTTGAGGATCACAGAACCATTGCCTCTGGATTTCACTCAATTCGTGATTCTCTGGACCTGGTCATCCAGCCAGTTTTTACCCAGCAAAGGCTACACTTATCTAAGCCATGAGCTGCTAGCTTTTCCAGGAGAATGCTGTGGGAGACAGTATCAAAAGCTATACTGATGTCTCTGTCCACAGCCTTTCTTTCATCCACTAGTGGGTTACCTTTTCGTAGAAGGAGGTCAGGTTGGTTAAGCAGGACTTCCTTTCAAGAGCCCATGCTGGCTAGGCCTGATCCCCTGGTTGTTCCTCATATGCCATGTGATTGCACTTAGATGATCTGTTTCATAATCTTCCCTGATTCTAACATCCAGCCTACAGGCCTGATGTTCCCCAGATCCTCTTTCTGACCCTTCCTGAACATTGGTGTCACACTGGCAAGACTCCAGCCATTTGGGACCTCCCTGGTTTACCAGAACTTCAGATAAATGATGGAAAGCAGTTTGGTGAGCACTTCCACCAGTTCCCTCAGTACCCTCAGTCCGCCCATACAAGAACACAATATGATTTTAATAGAATGATCCATAAGTCTTCAAACAGTCACTCTCTGGAGATGTTTCCATTCTTTTTATTTTATCAGACCATCTTTATGACCAGGTGAAATAACAGATACACTCAGATACACAGGCCTGAAAGAGTTTTATACAAGGAGAAAGTAAAAACCTAGACAGGTTTAAGACAGAATTTGATCTATTTTTGCAGGGAGCCATAGAATAACCTAGTCCCAAGAAGGATAGCGAAGACATTTACATATATTTCCATACTGCTGTCCAAACAGGACCTGACAGTGCAGTGATGGCAGCACCAATCTCACTGACCTGGTGTCTGTTTACCTGTAGTCATGGAGGTATGGACCTCACTGCTGACTCCAAACATGCCTGGGAATCTTTGGTAAATGAATAAAAATTCCCAGGTATGTTTGTAGTCAGCACTGATCTCCATGACTATGTAAGTTTCTGATCTAGCCTGTACAAAGCTAGGCTATGCATATATTTGGGAGCATCAGCTTTGATTACTGGATACATACATTCCCAGTGAGGCTGTGAAAGCAGCAAACCAGAATAACTGCTATTTTGCTTTAATTGCAGGCTACCTTAGTACATACTAAACATTTGAATTAGAACTGGTACACATACAAATAGCCAGGGATACACTGAAGGCTAACAATCTGAGTTTGAGCCCCTCAAAAGGGGAGTTGTTCCAACAGCAGGCAATTTGCTTCAGTTGCACAGTTGCTGGGAAAAGACTTTCCACTGAAGAAAAAGAAAGCTGTGGCTGTGGAGGACAACCAGACCTCCCAGAAACATTCATGCTGAGTTTTGTGACGTTCTGTCTTTTTATAAAAGCAGTTACGGATCTGTCAACATTTCAAAGCCATTGCAGAGAATGAGAGATCAGGCAAATCCACCACATTTGTTAATGGGGAAATACAGTGTAAGGATTGAGAGACTATCTGGCTCCTTCTCCTGTTTTAAACCATGGCATTTTAAAAACCCACTTCCACTGGATTTAAATATTTCAATTCACTCTTTAAAGGCAGTTTTGACTGAGGAAAATGCACTCAAACACAGCAGTTTCAGGTGGAATCTTCATAGAATAAAAGTCCTTTGATCTAATAGCTATAACCTATGCTACTCAAGAAATATGGTTAGTCATCATTAAAAGAACTGTATTTAAAACCCCTCGCCGGAAGGAAGGAAGGAAGGAAGGAAGGAAGGAAGGAAGGAAGGAAGGAAGGAAGGAAGGAAGGAAAAGAAAGAGACTGGTCCAGGCCTCCATGGGCTTTTCCTGTGTCCTTGACAGAATGTGGAATTAGCCTCTTCAGACTATGAGATTCTGCATCATATGGATGGAGACTGTGTAGACATAGGGCTGGTATAAAAACTTTATAGTGCAGGCTGGTTTAGTTGTTTAGTGAAATGTAAGCAACATAACTAGCTTGGACTGATGGTAGTTGACAATGAAGTACAATCACTGTGTTGGTTTCTTTTCATATATTTTCTGAAGCAAATCTTAAGAACTATTTGTAGAAATCTACAGAAGTTTGGCCCAGCAGTGAAATAGAGAATGTGTGAACCACTGATCACACCATATGCAATATAAATGATACAAAATTTCTCGGAAAGTTGGATCTAAGCAAAAGATACAGGTTTAAAGATGGCATATAACAACACAAAGACAATGGAGACTTTTATTCACAAGTCACCTGTATCACTGAGCTCTGGTGTTCGCAGAACAACTGTTTTCTTAAAGACTACAGAAGGGATGAATATGTGTGTATATATATATATGTAACGTATATATGCAGATATGTACACACCATATACAATGACAGAACATTACAGAAGGGAGACAAGCAGATCCACAGCCAAAATTTTTAAAGATATTCCCAACAATCTGATGTAGGCAGACCATAATAGGGAAAGGTCTTTTGTGAGTAGAATATATGCAAGGAGAAAGAGATGATGACTAGAAGATTTATTCCAGCTATTCTTACTGCTTGCTATTCTTAGCAATAATTCTCCTTAGCCAAAGACTATTCTTAGGCTTAAAACAAGTTTTTTAGAATATCTGGCCCAGGGGAATAATTTGAATTATTTAGGCTGAAGAAGGGGAAGCACAAAATGTCTCCAACCTCCAGAAACACAGAGCTACCAAGTCTCAGGCATCTCTAACAAAAATGACAAAACTCATAGGAAGAAGCAGAGTTTTATGGAACTGATGGAAAATGCCAGAATGAAAAGAACCAGAACTGTATGTGCGTCAGGCCTCACACTGTGGCACTTTTTGCAGCTCTCAGACAAGTTTGGCTATGATGTATCACATACGTAACATCCAAAGCATGGCATGTTCAGAGAGCTCCAATAGCTCTTTCCCTGCTGCCAATACTCCCTGGAGCTTGGCCACAAAATCCCACATGGAGCTGCACGTGTGCCTCAGAGCTGCGCTGTGAAATATATCCAGTAAAAGGTTGTAGACTCTTCAGCAGTTTGAAGGGCCTGGCACTGGTGCAGGCTTTTCTCCCATCAGCCAAGCTGATGCCTTTAATGTTTATAATATAACGTTTATTTTGTACTTGCAAATTGTGTTATTTCAGTAATGTATAGTTGTTCAGGATATAGAAGACTTATACTCAAGATACAGGAACTAGGTGGTTGAAGAAGCAGATGTAAGTCTCAGAGCAGGGAACTGTTTTGTGACAAGTTCTTAGGTAACAGAAGATAGTTTGCATAAAGTTCCTGCCACAACAAGGATGTTCTTAATCGAATCATAGAATCACCAAGGTTGTAAAAGACCCCCAAGATCATCTAGTCCAACCATCCTACCTGCCACCAATATTTCCAATAAGATGAGAACGGGTGTTTGGTGCTGCTCTCAGCAAAGCATCCCACAAAAGCAACTTGAGAAAGACCAGAGTGTTCAAATAAAGGACGTACCAAACAACAATGGAGGGTTCCAAGACCCCCACCACAAATAGACTAAAAGACTGAGCATGTGCAAGGAAGTGGAGCCCTATTTTAGCGATTTTAGGGAAAAATATTGAATATGTATGTACTTTCCAGGAGAATCTTTACATATGTAACAGAAGTAATGTTTGTAAGCTGAAGATCTCTTGCACCAGCTGCACGCGTTAGGCAGAACAATCCCCCACGCATTGTGTGCTGCAATAAAGACTGTGTGCAGCTTAATACCACGCTGGCCATGAGGAGTTTCATTCAGACTGGAGCAGGCCCAGTGTCAGGGGAGGCACCCCGACACTGTCACCCATTTAAAACTGCGTGGGAAACATTGTTTCTGGAGGCATGAACCCCGCAGACAAGCTTCTAAGAGGCAGAAGTGCAAAGCATTCAGGGTGAAATAAGGTCGGAAAACACTGGTAAATGATAGCAAGAAGTAGGAAAGTGTTGGCGCTAAGCGTTTGAGGCGTGGGCACCCACCGGGGGCTGGCGGCGAGGGGCGCTCAGAAGGCCCCTCAGGGAGACCCCGGCTCCCCGCGGCGTCATTTCGCCGCTCGGCAGTGCGGGAAAGGGGGGGCGGCGTCCTGAGGGGGAGAGGAGGAGGGAAGGGCGGGAAGGGGGAGTGGGGCGGCCTCGCACGTGTAGGAAGGCCAGGCATGGGGGCTTTCTGCTTTCGGCCCTGGGAGCCCCGCCGCTAAGCCCGCATCTCCAGCGCAGCCCTTCCCGCCGCCGCGAGGAGCCGTGCCCGGGCCCCGTAAGTGACGCCCTTCCTCCGCCTTTACCTCCTCGGGAGCGGGCGGGCGGGCAGCACGGAGCCGTGCTGCTGGCGGTCTCCTCGTGAACGGGGTTGGGGGAGCGTCTGTGCCAGGGACCTCGATCCCTGCACGAAGCAATCCTCGTCTCCGCCAGACGAGAGTCTCCCTTACGCGTGCGGAGGCGACGTGGCGGGAAAGGGAGACCAAGGGCTTTCTTTCAGCTGCCTTTAAAGTCCACAGTGTCTGTGTGGGTGGGTGGGGGGTGTATTTTTGCGCGTTCCTCCTGCCCCGTGTCACCTTCCCCACTTGGCTGCTTATGGCTGGGGGGTGCGGGCTGTAACACCTCCTCGCCACCTGAGGTGCAAAAGGTGGGGAAATCCCACCTCAGGGGAGAGCATGGGGGGAGTGTGGGTTTCTGCCAGTTGTAAAGCAGTTGTGAAACGTAAGGTTCTTCTGCTGGCTTTGCATGTTTAAATATAGAAATGTGATTTAGGCGTATGTAATCCAATGGGTGACGTTCGCAGCAGCTGGACAAAGCTCGTCTAGTGAAATAGTATTTGAAATATAATGTGTCTGAAGCAGCAGATCAAAGCCTTTGGTTTTAAAATATTGGTTATCACTTTTGGTTTGTGATGATGTTGAATTGGTTGAGTGCTGTGGATCTGATGAAGGTCTTGCCTCAGAGGTAACTCCATTAAATCAGGGAAACAAAATCAGTGCTGGGGGATACCACATGGCTTGGTTCTGACGGGGAGTGTACTCTCTACTGATTGCTATGCCAGTGTTTAATGCTTCATTCCATCAAAAGTAACTCAGCTGTGAAGGTAAGAGATTTCCTGAAATTTGGGTGAGCGCTGTATCCTGTCAGGACTGAAGGACTTAGGTTAACTGCACCATTCTCTGTTTCAAGTGGAATCATAGAATGGCTGGGGTTGAAAAGGACCACAAGGATCACCGAGTTTCAACCCCCCTGCTATGTGCAGGGTCACCAACCACTAGACCAGGCTGCCCAGAGCCAAATGCAGCCTGACTTCAAATGCCTCCAGGGATGGGGCATCCACAACCTCCTTGGGCAACCTGTTCCAGTGCGTCACCACCCTCTGAGTGGGAAAAACTTCCTCCTAATATCTAACCTAAACCTCCCCTGTCTTACTTTAAAACCTTTCCCCCTTGTCCTATCACTATCCACCCTTGTAAACAGCCATTCCCCCTCCTGTTTATATGCTCCCTTCAAGTACTGGAAGGCCATAATGAGGTCTCCCCAGAGTCTTCTCTTCTACAAGCTAAACAAGCCCAGTTCCCTCAACCTTTTCTCATAGGAGAAGTGCTCCAGCCCTCTGATCATCTTAGTGGCCCTCCTTTGGACCCAGTCCAATAGCTTCATGTCCTTCCTGTACTGGGAGCCCCAGGCCTGGCCACAGTACTCCAGATGGGGCCTCACAAGAGCCGAGTAGAGATGATCACCTCCCTCTCCCTGCTGGCCACCCCTGTTCTGATGCAGCCCAGAACACATTTGGCCTTCTGGGCTGCAAGCGCACACTGCTGGCTCATGTCCAGCTTCTTGTCTACAAGGACCCCCAAGTCCTTCTCCACAGGGCTGCTCTCAAGGAGATCTTCCCCCAGTTTGTATAAATAATTGGGATTGCCCCGACCCAAGCGCAGCCCCCTGCACTTGGCCTTACTGAATCTCATTAGGTTTTCATGGGCCCACTTCTCCAGGCTGCCAGGTCCCTCTGTACATTAATACCCAACCAGTATTTATTTTAAAAGCTTTCAAGCCCATTTCTCTTTGTATTCTTCCTCAATAAAACCAAAACAAAATACATTAGGAGGCGTTCAAATGTTTCGGAAATGGGGAATGTAAGACAAGGGATTGCAGTATATAGAGCTTGTTTATATTGAAAGAAGCTGATGATAGTTTGTTTACCCTAGAAAGACAAAATAAATTCTATGAAAAGTTCATGTAGACATTGTGCAGATTCAGTACAAAGTGGATCTTGGATCTGAATTTGGATTACACAGTGTGGAAAATCTTTTGAATTCTGGCTTGTGTTACCTACCTGCTCCTGTAAGCAGATGTCCATTGCTGTAGTCGGCTCCACTTGATACTAACCCTGTCCACACAATTCTTCTGAATCCCACTGGGCTCTTGTATAGACAGAGACAGGAATAAAGACACCCCATAGATGTGTAAGTCGCTATGACAGTATATTTTGAAATGCGCTGCATTTTTTTAATTACTCATTTTTAGCCTGTTAGTATCCATTGTGCTGAGGGCTATCCATGCATAGAGTAGTCTTTTGTCCATCTGATGTTATTTAAAAGTAACCTGGGATTCTTTGGATTTGAATGAAGACTGGTCACTTTGTGAGGTTCAAATGCTAAATCTTATTCCCTAAGTTATCGTAGAGGTTTTAAGATGGTAAAGTCTAAGCTTTGCTAGTATAGCTTTTGATCATTTTCATCCAAAGTGATCTGTAAGATTCATTTTGACATCTGCTCATTATAAGACAAGTATTGTTCTGACAAAAAAAAAGAAAAAAAGAAAAAAAAAAAGAAAAAAAATGCACATTGTACTTTCTTTTGTTGCTGTTCTGTTTTTAACTAGAATACTCCCTTGCTCATATGAGGACTTAATTCAGGGTAGAAGCCTTCAGGGGATCTTTTATGTGGGTAATAGTAAGTCGGATGTTAATTTAAAATATAGTCTGTGTTGTTTTAGCAAGCTTCCAATTCTGTCTTTGACTTATTGTTCCATTTTGATACCGACCTTATCAATTTTCTACCATTTCTTCTTTTTCCTTCCACCAGGTTTTTCATCAATGACATGTTTGGAAAATATTTTATCAACTATAAACTTTTGCAAAGAGAAGTCAGTGGAAATAAAATATCAGGGCAGGTCTGGGAGTGGGGGGCAGGAGGGATTGGCAAGAAGAGAAGCCAAGCAACAACAATAACTGCTGCTGGCCTAGCAGCTTTGGATTCAGTAAAGTAGTGGGTCTTTCATTTTCCCTTTTTCCAGGGGAATAGTAGATGTCAGTTTGTGATCAAACTCAGTGAATGGTATATGTACATCAATGTGAAACATCTCCGTAGATGAAGTGAATCAGGGAGAGGGAAGAGAGCGTTCAATATTGCAGTCTCTTTGCCTTAAATTTCTTTCCTTTCTTTCCAAAACTGTAAACTTTTGAGATCTTAGTTCTGGTATGTCCCAGACGGGTAAAGATCTCTTAATGCCATATTGTCAAAAATGTAGAAAAGTTTGCATTGCCATTTGTATGCATATTTGTGACTATAAATAAGAACATCGCTCACATTATTCACGTCAATTTTCTATGTAGTAGAAAATTATTTTAGATACTATTGAAATTATAAGAAAGCGTAAAAAAAAAAAAAAAAAAAAAAAAAGCTGTGTCATGTTTCTGCTGTATCTGAAAGTTCTCCGATATCTGAAAGCGTCCACCTTCCTAACAGTTTTTCCATTTATCACACTGCCTTTGTGCTCCTCCTTCAGTGACACCATGCAGTTCTGATCCTGTCTTGTCAATTCTTCAACCTTCTATGCATTGTCCAGTTGGGATAAGAATCTTGTTGTACGAATTAGTAGCCAAGTGATTTAGAATTGGTAGGTCCAGTGGCAAAGCTGCTGGAAGCAAATGGTTGAACTTTCAGATAATGACGAATGTGTACTCTGCTGGAAAATGCATTCATTTGAGTGATCTGCCACTACAAGTCCACTGGATTACTAGTAAAATGGAATCTTCTGGGATTTTTAAGTTTTATCATTGAGGACAGTCATCCAAATGTATTGCATGTTCTACACCATAGAATGAGCAGTTAGCTTAAGGCTTCTTGTAATACGCAGCCGGAGAAGAAAAGCATGATTGCCTTGAATAAAGCATTCTACTTGCAAAATGATTGTTGCAGACTTTTAATGTCAAAATGTGATCTGGAGCGACTTTTTACACAGGTGTCCTTTAGTTCCATCAGTCTCACTTAAGCTTGAACTCGAGTAGAAATAAGGGTGTGCAGTTTGGGATGAGTCTAGTAGCTGGTGTTGGGTCTAAGTACTGGATGCAAACAGGGGAGAGGTGCTACTGGAACAGCATACAAAAAAGCTGTCATATATGTATTTTACTTGCTGTGGCCATTAAGATTCTGCCCTAGACTGTGTAGGCTCCCACATATGTGTGTTGCTTCACAGAATTGCAGGGGTTGGAAGGGACCTCAAGAGATCATTGAATCCAAATCCCCTGCTAAAGCAGGTACCCAATACCCTACAATAGGTTGTGTGTGTTTGTACGTCTATATATGCATACCCACTCTATGTTTCAAAGAATTAAGCATCAAACTAGAGTAGAATATTAGTGTGGTTAAATTTAAGGACAGAGACCTTATATTTTATCTAACTTCTTCACGAAAACTTGTTATGAAATGACAGAATTCTTTGTTAGTGCCTCAGTGGCTGCATACATATGATAACTATAAGTTAACCAGTCACACAGGAGGAGGGGGAAAAAAAAAAAAAAAAAAAAAAAAGGAAACTACTATATAAACTATCATAGTGTTGTTCTGGAGTCCACAGAGTCCTTCCATTTGACTTTTTCAACTACCTTTTCCTATCAGAACTTGTAGTTAATATAGCTGATCCATAAAAACCTCCATGTAGTTGCTAGAGAGGTAATGTCTGGTGCTTTGGTTCCCCATGACAACTCATAAGAAATGCAGCAGAGTGAACACAACAGCTGCTGTTTCTGATAAGTAATCAGAATGGGCAGTCAGTGTTGGTGAGCCACAGTCCCCTGTGCCAGTAATGGCAATGTCTTTTTTGCCTCTGTGATGTATTGCTGGTTTCACTAAATTAGCTCATTTCTGAAAATTGTTTTGCCATATGTACATAATACCAGAAGGAGATGGTCCCTAGAGATGTTTAAGAAGTGTGTAGGTGTGGTACTTGGGGACACGATTTATTGGGCAATCAATATTGGTGGGAGGTGGG